ATCTCAGATTTCGACGAACGACTGTCGTTCCGACAATCGGAATAGGGGCGAATATTGCTCATTCCACGCGGCGATGACATTTCTCATGTAAGCGTAAAAAATCCGAATAGGATAAAACATGTCAGAAGAGTCGATTTTCTTAATATTCTATTTTTGGATGGTAAACGTAGTGTAATTGTGTTAAATAGTAAAAATGTACGATTTATAAAAAGATTATATGATTAAAAATTTAAAAATCGTTGATTTTTGTGAAAGTATTATTGAATTTAAAAATGTATACATAAGTATATACAAAAAACGAAAATCTTCAATTTTTTACACATAACAAAATGTCTAAACCATGGAGGAATATTGAACTTTTATTAGTTATTAAAATATGTACGTGTTTGAAGTTTTTTCCTTGATTTTATTTTATTTTTCTTATACGATTCATGCCACTTTTTTTTCAAATCAACAAAACTCTATAAGTAACATATCTGATTCTCATCAGCGAAGTGAGCATCAAAATAGAATTACAAAAATCTTCTCTAAAATTTCTCCTACTCGGTTGATGTAAGCAATTGTGACAGCTACGACAAATGTACACAAAAACAAATTCTCAAAGAGGGGAAACATGGAGAGTAAATAAACGATGACAGCTGTTCGGGTAGGCCGATGGCAGCTGCTATCTACTTTTCGAAAAGGGCCGGTAGAGGTTGCCAGTGTGGAAAATTTAATATAATTAAACAGATAATAAAGCCCTAGAGCTTTTATTTTTCCACATTGCTATTTTTCCCGAGTTCTCAAGAAATTTTATTCAAATCAAATTTGTTGTAAAAAGTTTTACGCCGTCCAATATTTCAAAGCAGACCTCAATTATCATGATTAGTCCGTTAGCACCTATTTTGGTCGCAACGGCAACTCTCCATCCTTTTATGTGCTGTGCGTTCACTTTTCATTGTAGAGATTTCCAATTTGTTTCATCCGATAAAAATGTAAAAAATATGTTATAAAAGCGATTTATTTTGAGTTGAAAAGGTAAGCGGCTTCAAAATAACGAACTCCTGTTCAAATAGCGATAAAATATTTGTGAAATATGTTTTGTACATATCTAATCGCGAAAATTTTCTTGGCAGCTGTAATCCGAGCGGCTCTATTGCAGTGAAAAAAAAAATCGTGGTGTGTATGTATGTGCGTATGTGAAAAATTGCCGAAATCGAACGTATTGTAAAAGTAAAAATATTCGCAGCATAAAGCCTTTCATATAAAATGTGGATATAATTAGAGTAGTTAACAGGTGTATTAAACGCATTGCTTGCAAAATATTTGAAATTACATCAAGCATAAATTTCTAATTTTCCGACTCTTTGGTCACATTTCGTTTTGCCTGCCGAAAACGCATACCTTGATAAAAGTCGAACGAAAGACGAAATGTCTGAAACAGGAGAATGATTCTCCGGTTTGCGACGATTGTCTATTTCACTCAAATTGTTACGTTTCTTTGTTCACCACTTTCTTCGGTGCCAGAAGCGCTGCCAGATGTTATATAAATATCAGTTTCTGCTATTTGAGCCAATCGGTAACTTATTACTACGTGGTGTGAAGAGGTGGAAAAATTTATTATGGTGTACAAATAAATTAGGGGTATTCTCGAAGTCCTGCACATCCCTAACACTGTGCACGATGAAACCCGGGGTTTCTATGAAATAGATTTTAAATTAATTTGTAAACTGAACATGATAGAAAAAAAAAATATTTACTGCAGACCCTTAATATAAGTTTTGAATATTTCCATGCGGCTTAAGATATTTTTACCTTTACTTAATATTTGTAAATTATTTATAAAAGTATGCATATGTAGTTCACTATCTCCCAAGAAATATAAATCCAAATTTCTCCCTTTGTGCAAAAATTAAATAAAATTAACCTATTTCCACCAAACTTTTAAACTTTATTCAGACAAATTTTAGTTATGCCCTTAAATTTTAGCATTATAAAATGTAAGTTTGAGCAAGTAAACCGTAGCGTTTATTTTTAACAATGTGTGCTGGTGCTAGGCGTCTCCTTGAATTTAAAACAATTTAGAACCTAATTTGTATGGAAGATGTTAAAAAGCAACGTTATTTTGTAGGCTATACTTTTATAAAAAGAAAGTAATAAACATTAAACAAAAGAAAAATTGTCAAAACTGTTCGAAATATCGCACTCATATTTTTGGCAGAGACTTGTTTGTTTCCATCTGTAACACCGTGTGATTCACACTTAACAATAACCATTAATACAATTGTGATTTGCAAAATAGCAGGAACTAAATAAACTGAACTTATAGTAACTTATAGTGTTTTCCGATTTATTTATATGGATGTTATAATTTGATCAGGTCTATCGGCAGTTTATCACGTTATATGAATGCCCATAATATTTGAAACCGACAAGTCTTCTTCATATTTCACCAAATATTTAACAAACAGGCAAGTTTTATTACAAAATATCTGTGTTTATATATTCGAAATGATTTGAAGAAAACCTTTCCATCTAATTCGGGTGAGCCCGAACTGTGACGAATAAAACATTCAGGGCCGGTTTCACC